GACATGGACATGCCGCCTGGCCCGCAGGGGGGCACCTGAAGTTTGTGACGCCCTTCCCCCCAATCTAACCTCCCAATTTACAGATGGGAAGACAGAGGCCTGGAAAATTAGAGGCAGCTCCAGGGTGTGACCCAGGTCCCCTGCGTCCTAGGCCTGGGCTCCTTCCCAGCCTAAAGCCTCGGAGCCTCGTCTTGCCGTGAAGCCTCAGCGTTGTCGCCTGTTACCGAGGAGAGAGAATGCCCACCCAGCTACCGTGGTGGGCGCTCTGCACCAAGCCAGGGTCGGCCATCACCCCGTGACTGTCCTCTCTGGCAATGGGGGCAGTCTCCTTCCTCGGGGCAGCCCCACCGGGCGGAGGGCAGAGCAGGATGGAGCCCCTGCTGTGCTGGCAGGCCGCAGGCCGCAGCCCGGAGCCCGGCTGGGCAGGTGGTTACTCACCCACGTGAAGATGGAGAAGAAGGAGAAGGCGATGGCGGCCCGGGCTGCGTCCGTCCCTTCGTTAAGTGGGTTGTCCTTGGGCTTGGAGACCTGCCACTGGTTGGCCAGGTAGCAGAAGCCCACGAACCAGAGGAAGGCCCAGAAGGCTGGGGTGTCCACCAGGGTCAGGCCGAACAGTCCACGCGGGGAAGAGGGGGTAAGTTGGGAGGAAATGGGGAACGAAGGGACAGGGAGAGGTTCAAGAGCACATCTCCCGAGCCCTCCCCCCAGCCCCGAGGGGGGCAGAGAGGGGAGCACAGGGAAGGTGGGGCGAGAACAGAGAGGTCAGTCAGATGCAGCCGAGAGGTCACAGAAAGGATCCAGCAAAGGCCCAGGGAGAGCCAGGGCGGGGAGAGGGAGGGAGAGAGGGACGGAGGCCGGGAGGGAGGGACAGAGAGAGAGAACATCAATCAGCCTGGGCCGGCCTTTCTCTAACCTCAGCCAAGCACAGACTTCCCAGCTGTCCCTGACTGTCCCCCATCCACCCCGCAGCCTGCAGCTTCCTGGGAGGAGCACCCCGACACCCCATCACCCCTTACTGCAGCCTCACAGAGATCTGAGCAGGGGGAAGGGGAGGGGAGCTAGGGCAAGGGTGTGGTGCAACCCCAGTGGGCCTGAGCCTCGACCTCTATAGCGATGGGCCTCTGGAGCCCAGACCCGCCCACAGGCACTGCTGGGCACCCTGAGGCTCTGTGGGACACAGTTTGAGAACTATGAATTTTGTTCTAGTTCCTTCAGGTCTAAGGGCCCCCAGACCTTCCACCGGGCTCATCCTGAGTCCCAGGCCTGGAAATGGAGGGAGGTCCCTGCCAGACCTGAGACCATGGCCTTAGGCTAGTGAGGCTGATGTCTTTCTTACTGACTCTCAACCTAAGCCTCCACCAATGAGATTCTCCAAACTCGTGGGACGGAGGTCAGGGTACCTCTGCCAAGGCCGTTTCTGAAGGGCAAGTGCAGCAGGTCACCTAGGCTGCCAGCTCCAGAGTCCAACCCTCCCAGGGCACCTACTATGTGCCAGGGCCTTCAGTCACAGCGCTGTTTAGTTCTCAGGGGTCCACGAGGGCGGTGGCACTGAGTGGAGAGGGCGCCCCTGGATGCTGCAGCCCCTCCTCGCTGTGGAGCTGTGGTCACTGGGGTTGCAGGCCAGCACTGGTCCCACGCTTCCCTGTGGCAGCCCTGTGACCCCCAAGCCTGTCCCTTCACCCGACTATTAGGTGTGCATGGGGATCAACGGGACCCGGGCCGGGACAGCCCTCTGCAGACTCTGGGGCGGGGGCTCACCCGAGACACCGATGTCCGACAGGACGGCTTTCTTGCGGTCCTTCACGCTGCTGATCTGCGGGAAGTAGACGTCCAGGGCCAGGTAGAGCAGGCAGGTGATGAAGGTGAGCACGCCCACGGTCACACCGTAGCTGCAGGCGTTGGGGTTGCGGTTGTAGATGCAGAACTCCTCACCCTCCAAGGGGGTGTTGAGGTAGCCCTCGTTCACGATGGAGCCGAACACCACGATGGAGAACACCTGAAGAGGGCGGGGAGGGGCAGGGGAGGCATGAGACCCAGGCAGGCCCCACCCAGTACCAGCCCGGTGTTGGGGGGGAGGGGTTGCCCACCAACACCTCTCAGCCTGATGCTGCCTTTCTTCACCCCAAATAGCAGGCATTTCAGAGGGAGGCCCAGAGAGGGAGGGCAACTTACTTGGGGTCACACAGCACAGGGCAGGATCAACAGCTTCCATCCTCAGCCCCAGATCTGAGGACCCTCTCACTGCAGATATGTCCCACCCCTCCACACACACACCCCGCCCCCCCGACAGCCAGGTCCTGAGAAGGCCTCTTGCACCCTGACACCAAGGTTCCTCTAGGACTGGACCCGGCCTCCCAGAACCAGTGGTCTCATGTGCTCCTGGGCAGGGGACCTGCTCAGCCTCCACCCCCATCTTGTGCACCCCTCCCCTCCACGGAGACCTCAGGCCCCACCTGTCTGTCCTCGGTCCCACCCTTCCCTGTCGTCTAGGCCCTGACACGTGGAAGGAGTGATGGATGGAAAAATAATGATCCTGCCAATTACAGGGGAACCTGCACCACCATGAGTGAGTTACATGGGGTCCCTCACTTAACCCCCCAACAGGTCTCTTTCAGTCTGGCTGGCACCCGGCTAAGATGGCCCCAGGACCCCACTTCCTGGTATTTACACCCTGGACTGTGGGCTAGGCCTAGTGACTGCTACAGAATATGGCAAAAAGTGGTGGGATATCACTTCTGTGAGAAAGTTTCAGGCTCTGGCTCTTGGCCCCTCTTGCCTGCTCACTCTGATGGGAGCAGCTGCCATGTTTTGAGCTGCCTCATGGGAAGGCCTACCTGGTTAGGAACTGAGGGTGAACAGCCAGAAGGGCACGGAGCCTCTCAACCCAACAGCCCACAAAGAAGTGAGTCCTGCCAGCACCATGTGAGTGAACTTGCACATGGATCCACACTGGCCGTCAGATGAGCCCACAGCCCTGGCTGACACCACCACTGTAGCCTGTGACAGACCTGAGGCAGCGGCACCTCGCTAAGCAGACACCCACCCACAGGAACTGTAAGATAACAAATGTTTGTTGTTTTAAGTCACTACAGTTTGGGGTAGTTTGTTACGCAGCAATAGCTAACTAATACAAAACCAGTGCCATCGGCATTTTGCAGATGAGGCAGTTAAGGTGCAGGTGCTCGTGAATGTGCCCAGCGTCACACAGTGACGTTTGGTCAGTGGCAGAGCTGGCTTCACACTCAGGGACCTGACTCTAAAGTTCATGCTTTTCCCTCCTGCCTCTTGTCTGCCCTGAGACTGTGAGGATGAGCAGGCCCAGACCCACGGTCACACATGCAAGAAGGCAGAGCCTCGGCCAGAGGGAGTTTTTATCATCCATTTCCCACTGCTCTTTGCTTTCCAATTGTTCTACAAAAAAACTATAATCCTATATAATAAAAGGCTAATATGCAAATCGACCAAACAGCAGAACGACCAAGCACTATGACGTGCACTGACCACCAGGGGGCAGACGCTCAACGCATCTGGTGGTCAGCCCCCTTCCCCAGGGGGAGTGCTGCTCACCCAGAATCCGGACTCATGCTGGGGAGCCCAGCAGCAGTGGTGGGAGCCTCTCCCACCCCCATGCAACCCTAAGGATGTCCGACTGTGAGAGGGCACAGGCCGGGCTGAGGGCCCCCCCCCCCCCGCAGTGCACGAATTTCATGCACAGGGGCCTCTAGTTTCAATATAAGCCAGACATATTTTCATACTCAGCTGACACCTAGGATGGCTAGTGACTCCAAGGCAGGTGTGGGGAAAAATATGAGAAGCAATACTATTTTATTTATCTTTTTAAGATGTCTATACTTTACATGGGTTTTATAACGTGCTGGATACATGGGCATAGTAGTAATATATATAAAACAAATACGTCTAGGTTGAATGGGAGGATTGATTTGAAAATGTTTCCTGAAGGAGTGCAGAACACCACTGGTTCTTGACTCTCTGTGCTCAGAAGGATTCTGACCCGAATGTCCAGTGGATGAATGGAGAAGCAAGTGATAGCCTATCCATACAATGGAGTATTATTCAGCCACAGAGAGGACCACAGTTCTGATATATGCCACAGACAGATAGCCTTAAAACAAGTGGAAAACGAAAAAAGCCAGACACAACAAGTCAATATTATATGATTTCTTTCACATACTGTATCTGTAATAGAGATGGAAAGCAGACTAGAGGTTCCCAGAGTACGGGGGTGGGGGGGAGAGAGAATGATTATTTAGTGGGTACAGAGCATTTTATGGGATGATGAAAAAGCTTTGAAACTAGAGAGAGATGGTGGTTACTGTAAATGCACTAAATGAACTGTATACTTTAAATTGTTTATTGTATGTTATGTGAGTTTTTATGCAACTAAAAAAAAAAAAAAAGACAGGATTATGGGGCTGTGTCCTGGTCCGCCACGGGAACAGGTCGGCCAGTCCTGACTGGGAAGGGACACACACCCAGTCAGTCCTTCAGACCGGGCAGTCCTGGCTCACAGCTCCGCCTGTCACAGGGTCTGCGTCTCCACAATCGTGAACCAGAGAGGGCGACTGTACTGCCCTGACTTACAGACTAAAACACTGAGGTTCAGGAAGAGGTGACCCTGCTGCTAGCAGTGCAGGCTGAACCTGAACCCAGGTCTCCTGACTCTCGGTCCACCTGACCAAGCTGACTCTCAGCTGCAGGAGGCAGGTCCAGAAGATGAGTGGTCTTTCCTGAGACCTGAGGGTCAGCAAGAAAGCATCAGTGTGACTGGATCCGCAGTGAGTGTGACTGGATCAGGCAGTGAGTGTGACTGGATCAGGCAGTGAGTGTGACTGGATCAGGCAGTGTGACTGGATCCGCAGTGAGTGTGACTGGATCAGGCAGTGTGACTGGATCTGCAGTGAGTGTGACTGGATCAGGCAGTGTGACTGGATCTACAGTGAGTGTGACTGGATCTACAGTGAGTGTGACTGGATCAGGCAGTGTGACTGGATCCACAGTGAGTGTGACTGGATCTGCAGTGAGTGTGACTGGATCAGGCAGTGAGTGTGACTGGATCAGGCAGTGTGACTGGATCTGCAGTGAGTGTGACTGGATCAGGCAGTGTGACTGGATCTGCAGTGAGTGTGACTGGATCAGGCAGTGGGACTGGATCCGCAGTGAGTGTGACTGGATCAGGCAGGGTGACTGGATCTGCCGTGAGTGTGACTGAATCAGGCAGTGTGAGTGGATGTGCAGTGAGTGAGATTGGATCAGCCAGTGGACTGAATCAACAGTGCGTGTGACTGGATCTGCCGGGAGTGTGAGTGGATCAGGCAGTGAGTGTGGACTGAATCAGGCAGGGTGACTGGTTCTACAGTGAGCGGGTTGAATCAGGCAGGTAAGTGATCCACCGTG